TATGCAAACCATACAGTATATCCTCATAAACTTTAACTCTGGTTCTCTAAGCTGATGGCTGGAATGCCATTCAACCTCTGGAAAATTGTAAGTGAAGAAGAGCTTGAATAGAAAGAGCCAGTAGACTTAACTGACCGTAGCTAAATATTGCTACAGACTGAATATTTGTGTGCCTCCAAAATTCATATGTTGATTTCCTTATCTCCCTAATGTGATAGTATTTGGAAATGGGTTCTTTGGGACATAATAAGTGTTAGAGTTGGTCATGAGGATGGGGCCTTCATGGTGGAATTAATGCCTTTATTTTATAAAAGAAGGTGTGTGTGTGTGTGTGTGTGTGTGTGGTGTGTGTGTGTGTGTGTCCTGCCAACCCCCACCTTGTGAGGGCACAGGGAGAGAAGACACCATCAGCAAACCAGAAAGAGGGCTCTCACCAGAAGCCTACCATTTTGGTACCCAGTGTGCCCATCTTTCCAGCCTTCAGATCTGTGAGAAATAAATTGATTTGTTTAAGCCAACCAGTCTGTGGAATTTTGTTAAAGTAGCTCAAAAACATGAAGTCAACTGTCTTACATTTGTAAGTTTCACAGGTCACATAACCATGGGAGCACATTGCTTGGGTGTGTCCTGGGGCCTGGGACAGGTCTGGAGAGGGGAGGGGCCTGAAACTGAAGCCTCATCTGCTTCCTGGTACATCAGCCTTGGCTGTTCAGTGTCCTCAAGAAGAATCCAAGCTCTGCTCTCTTTACCCAGATCCTCCCTCCTTGCTGCTTCACCCCTTGGAGTTTGGCTTCTACTCTACATTCATGTAACTCAGCAAGGACCAGCTAACCACCAACACAGTATCTTCCCCTAGTCCTTATTCTTCTCTACCCTCTGTCTTTTTTCTCTGAACCAAACTACTCCTATGCCTGTCACGTAGCACCTTCTTGACTCACTCATCTCCTCTCTTCCCACCCTCATATATCCCCATGCTCCATCTCCCCTTGTGCTCCCTAAATGAGGGAGCTTTCTTAAGTTCTGCCCCTGACTCCTTCTTCCTTCTCTCCTTGTTGAGCACTCTTCCTTGGAAATCTCATTTACTCACAGACTTACATTGTCACCTCAGTATATATGCCTGATCCAGTCTCCTTCTCTCCAGAGAAGAAATTCCTCTCTAGAGCCCATTTTATTGCACACATCTCCCCATCACTGTCATCTGGGGTCTTCCCTCACACTAGCTCTTCCCCTTGTCTGTTAGCTCAGAGATCATTGACTCCTGTTTCTCCCCTGACCACCACTTTCCTTTCTCCCCTTCCCACTGCCATTTTTCTACCCTTAGCATCTCTCAACTATAGCATAAGCCTCTCCATTGTTCCAGAGAATTCTACAACCAAATGCTTTCCCTCTTTCCCCCAGATGTTTTCTTCCTTCTCCTCAGAACTGCCACATGCTTTTTATTTCTCATATTGGATTTATTATATTTCATTTTGTGTTTATGTAGCAATAAGTAACACATATAAAGTGCTTACAAGGTGCTAAGCATTGTGCATAATCTCATGTAAGTCTCACTCCCACTCTAATACTATTATTAACATGATTATTATTGCTATTTTCAATGAAAAACCTGAGCCTTAGAAAAGCTGAGTAACTTGCTCAAGGCCTCGTAGAACGTAGCAGAGAAAGAATTTAGATGCAGCTCTCTGACTACAAATAACCAGAGCTTATCACCAATAACAAATAATAATTATAACTACCATTTACTATGACTTGCCATGTGCTCTACAAACTTCTCATTACCCTATGGGATTATATTATTATTATCCCCTTTTTATAGAGGTGAAAACTGAGGCCCAGAAACTTCATGTTATCCTCCGGGTTTCCTAGCTGGTACAGGCAGAACTATGCTTGAGGCACAAAGCATGGGACATTTGGCTCTAGAGCCCTTGCTGGTAACCATGTCACACGTCCACCTCCCTCTCTTCTCTGCTGACTTCATCTTTATTGCCTTGGCCGTTCTACTATAAAGTAGCCTCCCTGAAAGCAGGGCCACTTCTTACTCATTTTTTTCATACTAAAGATGAGTTTACTTCGAAATTCATCGAGTTAATTTCAAAATTACAGATCATTGCAAATATAATGCAAAAATACTTATTTTCCTGAACCATTTCAGAGTAAGTTACCAACATGTTGCTTCACAACAATTCAGTGTAAATGCCCTTCAGAAAAAGCCATTCTTCTACATAACTACAATAAAACCATCAAAATGAGGAATTGTACATTGGTACATCATGACCAACTAATTTCTGACCCCATTCGATTTTTAACAATTGTCCCAATAATGTTCTTTATAGCAAAAGGGATCCAAAGGATATTATAACATTTGGTTGTGTGTTTTTAGTCTCCTTCCATCTGAACATCCATGTCCTTGACATTTGAAAACTGCAGGCCAGTTATTGGTAAAATGTCTCCCAATATGCCTAGTGCTTTCTCAGGACTACATTCAGGTTCTGCATCTTGAGCAGCAATGCCTCAGAAGTGATACTTGGTTCTTCTATGTCTTTCTTTCAAGTGGCCACAATTTCATTTTGTCCCTTTTCTGACAAGGTTAATTTTGATAATTGGATTCAGATGATATCTTCCAGGTTTCTTCAAGTTATTTTTTTCTTTAATGTATAAATATTTTATGAAAGTACCTTTTTGAAACGATATGAATATTTTCTCCTATCAAAATTTCATATGCTTATTTTTAATATACATAGATATTTATTGGTTTAATTACTACTGTAATGTTGCCAAATGGTGATCTCCTTCTACATCTATTAGTCAGCATTCACTTGTCTTGATTTATTTATCCATTGATTTATTTATATTAGTATGGGCTCATGGATACTATTTTCTTCAATGATACAATTTTATGGACATCTATTCTGAAGCTCAAATTATCCCAGTTTTTCTGTCCTTTGATGAGGCTTCTGTGTCCTTTCCCTTGAGTATCCTTTACATCCTGGGACAATAAGCTATTCCAGGCTTTTTTTTTTTTTCTTTCTCCACCCCGGTCTTAGAATCAGTCATTTGTCCAAGTCATCATAGCTCCTTTTAGTGGAGAATGGGCCTCAATTTTCTCCTCTATAAAAAGGGGATAATAATAATATAATCCCATAGGGTAATGAGAAGTTTGTAGAGCACATGGCAAGTGCATAGTAAATGGTAGTTATAATTATTATTTGTTATTGGTGATAAGCTCTGGTTATTTGTAGTTATTCTGTGACTGGGGTGTCACTGCTCTGGGATTCTCAGTGCCAAAGCTAGGAAATGTGTGTGTATGTGTGAAAAGCAATGAGTTCACATCAATACCTCCAATTCCAATCTAGCATCTCTTGGTTGATTACAGTTTTCCTCTTTTCCACATTTATAACTCTCTTACTAAATTGTATGAAACCATTATCCTCAATTTATTTACTTATTGGGTCAGCCTTCCCATACGTCCCCATTCTCCTGATGCTGCCATGGCTCCCCCCCACTCCCAGGGATGCCCTTCTCATCCTACTCAGGCTCTGATTTCCCATGCCAGCCTGTCCCCACCCAACTTCACTCCCTCACCTTCCTACACAGTAGCCTAGTCTTGCTCATTCCCATCTAATGACCTCTAGACTGAATTATTCATGAGCCTATGAATTTTATAATAAAATTTTAGACTAGCAAAATGCTCTTTACTGAGTGGGTATTCAGTTCACATTTTTTAAAAGAATAAAATAAACACTTGCCCACTTGAAGTTTTTCTACATAAAAATTAATATTGATTATTATGAAAAGACAATACCTCAGTTAAAACAACACTTACGTGAGAAAATAAGTTCTTATTGAGAAATCTAAATTTAACTTTTAGGAAGCATAGCCAAAGTATCGACCAAAAGGTCATCATTTCCCCTCACTATCTGGCCTGCCCCAGTGTCCATAGTGTTCCTGACCTTCATTTTTTCCAGTCTGATAAGGAAAAATGTTTACTTTTTTCCCCAGAAATGGCTTTGTTCCTTCATGGATTTAAATTGTCTATTTTTTTTTCTGTCCAGGCCAATTAAAGTCTGCTGCCTGGAGTTTAAAAATCCCATCATGGGATTGTTTGACACACAATTGCCAACTACTTTCTCCAAATTCAGATTCCACTTTCCTGTGAGTGTCTCTCTCCAGTCCCATCACTGAGAGTGCCTCAGTCTGAAGCTCCACTATACTCCCTGATGCAGGATAGTTTTCCTTTCTAACTTTTCAAAACTATAAATACATTACAAAAGGGCATGTACAGCTTTTTTCACAAATTATTACTTCTCAGTTTGCTGACTTATTTTCAAATTAAGGTGCACACAGATATGATGCGGTTAAAAAGTAAACAGATGTCTGGCTCACGGTTTTATTACTTTTGCAGTTTACTATAAACATATTAAAATAAATATATTTTAAAGAATAGTTGTTCTTCAGGGCTTCCAGAGAGATTACAGAGTATGGCTACCAGCAAACAAAGGTAAAGAATCCATATTTCTCACACTTAAATTAAAACCTCTAGGAACATTAATGAAGGACTGGATTGGAAATTTCAGTGACTATTGAATAACTTCTACCAAGAAACCTCAGGTCCAACCCATCAATAGTGAGGTAAGACCAGAGCCTAGTTCAGCCATGGGCAAACTACGGCCTGCAGGCCGGATCCGGCCCTTTTGAAATGAATAAAACTATTGAAAAAAAAGACCGTACCCTTTTATGTAATGATGTTTACTTTGAATTTATATTAGTTCACACAAACACTCCATCCATGCTTTTGTTCTGGCCCTCTGGTCCAGTTTAAGAACCCATTGTGGCCCTTGAGTCAAAAAGTTTGCCCACCCCTGGCCTAGTTCCTATTACCATCAACTTTAAATTGTATGATGACAATAACAACGCACACATAGAATACACATGTATTCTTCACAAGAACCCTTTGAGATAGATAAGATAAAAGTTACAACATGATTGCACAAGTTCACTCACCCTCGAGGTGACAGAGCTAAAATGCAGTCCCAGGTCTTCCTTCAATGCACACTTCATACTGCCTCTCCAGACCAGAGTATGTTTGTAGTAGCTTTCCAATTTCTCAACCACATTTTCTGCTGTGCATCCAAACTCCTGTCTACCTAGTGAGAAAGATAAATCAAACCAATAAACTCTAAACTCATGGGGAAAATGCCTTCTGAAAGGATGTTTTCTTCAACTAACTGGCTTATTCAAAAAATTACGTTACCATCAAACTAAAGAGCAAGATATCTTAAAGAAACACTCAACTACATTATATTCAGAAATCTCTTCTGATATTCATTATGGGCATATTTTTAACTGATAAAGGAGAATGACTGGTGCTTCCTCTGGATTATTTTTACTAGGATATAAAGACAGGATATTATATTTTATTGAAAGACTATTTTTCAAAGATAGCTATGCTACAGCCATGAAGACATAGAATGAAAAAGAGTCAGTTATTTAATGGTCATTGCAAAACCCAAAGAAGACCATTTCAGTTTTTGGTGAATATATTACTTCCACCACTTTAGCCTGCTGAAAATTCAAATAATTCTATTTTTTCTTTTACTTATTTTTCAAAAAATTTTAAATTGTTTCAATTACAGTTTATACTCAATATTATTGTATATTAGTTTCAGGTGTATAGCATACTGGTTAGACAATCTTATACATGACCCCCCTGATATTTTCAGTACCCAACTGGCACCATACAGAGTTATTACAATATTATTGGCTATATTTCCTATGCTTTACTTTACATCACATGACTATTTTCTAACTACCAATCTGTACTTCTAAATCTCTTCACTTTTTATCTCAATTCCCTAACCTTCCCTTCCCCCAGGAACCATGAGTCTATTTGTGTTTTGTTGGTTTGTTTATATTGTCCTTTAGATTCCACATGTAAGTGAAATCATATGGTATTTGTCTTTCTCTGACTTACTTATTTCACTTAGTATAACACCCTCTAGGTTCATCCAGGCTGTCAAAAATAGTAAGATTTTGTTATTTTTTATGACAAGGTAATATTCCATGGCATGTACCACAGCTTTTTTTTATCTCATCTACAATGGGCACTTGGACTGCTTCCATAATTGGCTATTGTAAATAACACCATAATGACATAGCGGTGCATATATTCTTTCAAATTAGTGTTTTGGGTTTCTTTGGGTACATACCCAGAAGTAGAATCTCTGGGTCATAAGGCAGCTCCATTTTTAATATTTTGAAGACCCTCCCTACTGTTTTCCACAGTGGCTGTACTAATTTGCATTCCCACCAACAATATGCGAAGTTTCCTTTTCTCCATAACTTCATCAATACTTGTTTGTTGATTTATTGATGATAGCTATTCTGACAGGTATGAAATGTCTCATTATGGTTTTAATTTGCATTTCTCTGATGATTAGTGACACTGTCTATTGGCCATCTGTATGTCCTCTTTGGAGAAGTGTCTGTTCAGGTCCTTTGACGATTTTTATAATTAGATTGTTTGTTTTTTTGGAGTTGAGTTGTTTGAGTTCTTCATAAATTTTGGATATTAACCCCTTATCAGATGAATCATTGGTGAATATGTTCTCCCATTAAGTGGTTTGTCTTTACTTATTGATGGTTTCCTTCAATGTGCAAAACCTTTTTAGTTTGATGTAGTCCCATTTGTTTCTTTTTTCTTTTCTTTACCTTGCACTTAATTCTTTAATCTATTTTGAGTTTATTCTTATATATGGTGTAAGAAGATGGTCTAGTTTCTTTTTTTGCACATATCTGTCCAATTTTCCCAACACTATTTATTGAATATGCCATCTGTACCCTATTGTATGTTCTTGACTCCTCTGTTAAATATTAATTGACCATATAGGCATGGGTTTGTTTCTGAGCTCTTTATTCTGTTCCATTGATCCATATATCTGTTTTTATGTCAGTACCATGCTATTTTGATTACTATGGCTTTGTAGTATAGTTTGATACTAGGCAGTGTGATTCCTCCAAATTTGTTCTTCTTTCTCAAGATTGCTGTGGCTATACAGGGTCTTTTGTGTTTCATATAAATTTTTGAATTACTTGTTCTAGTCTTTGAAATACACCATTAGTATTTTGATACAAATTATAATGAATCTATAAATTGCTTAGCATAGTATGGTCACTTTAACAATGTTCATTCTTCCTATCCATGAGCATGCTATATGCTTCCATTTATTTGAATCATTAATTTCTTCAGTATCATAATTTTCTCCGTATAGGTCTTTTACCTCATTGGTTAAATTTATTCCTAGGTATTTTTTATGCAATTGTAAATGGAATTGTTCTTTTGTTTTCCTTTCTGATAATCCATTATTGGTGTTTAAGAATACAACCAATTTCTGGATATTTACTTTGTATCCTTGTACTTTACTGAATTTATTTATCAGTTCCAGTAAGAATGCTATTAATATAAGCAATATTTATTGTGTTTTATGATTATAACTTTAACACACACTCATTGTTTTTACATGCAGAAAGCTAAAAAAAGAAAATTAAAATCACATATTCTCATCATCAAGTGATAACAACTGGTTTCTTTTAAATATGTGTTTCATGTATTTGCATGTCTGGTTTTGTTTTTACAAAATTGGGATTATATATTAAAGGGTTTTTTCCTACTTTTTCCATTTATACAATAGCATTTCCCATGATATTAAACTATATAATGTGATGTTAGTAGATGAATAATAGCCTATGCAATGTACCTAATTTATTTAACCATAATTTATTTAACTCTATTATTAGAAATATTGGCTTTATGTTTGCTATTAAAAATAGCAATTCTATAAATAGTTTGGCATATAAATCTTTGTCCACCACTTTGGATAGATTCCTAGAAGTTTATTGAATGAAAGGATATGAACTCTTTTAAGAATAAAAATTCATATAATTAAATGCATTTCTAGGAAAACTGTACCAGTTTACACTTCAACCAACATATTATCAAAAAAGTTTTGGTAGCTTTTAATATTTTAACATCATTTTTCCAATTTGCTAGTTAAAAGTTATAACTCGTTGTTTTAATTTGCATGCATTTGACTATTAATACAACCAAATATTTTTGCATATGTTAATTTCCCATTTATATGTGTGTTTATGTGTTTTCTTCTGTCTTGTATCCATTTTAATGAAATGTTTACATTATTATTTTCAAACATATATTTCCATTTTTTAAATATAGAAGCCTTTGGCAATATTATTTACTAGTAAGTCATTTGCTTTTAATGTTTAGTAGTCAAATATCCAAAGTTCCACTATGTATTCAGAGCTCATAATGTTTTAAACATATCATTACACATTTTAGTAAATAGGATAGTCATCTGTTAATCTCTTTATTTGGGCAGCAGATGTTAAGTTACTCAGTTTGAGGAATCCAATAACCCCTTATCCAGCAATCTCCACTGGCAGTTTTAGAGAACAGTGAATTATACCAAAACATTCTTCCAAACTTAACCTTTCATAACCCATTTTGAATGGAGCTTTGAACTGACCTAGAGCCCTTTGAGAACTTTGTTTCTTTCCAGGAAAAATATTATTTCTTGGCTGTAAGAATTAAATTTTATCAAAGGCACCTCAAGAATCTTCTGGGGGACATTGAATGCCTGTTGCCAAATAGCATTTTGATGAGTTAAGTATAAATGAATGTGAAACATATGGACTATATTTACTTTAAATAAATAAGAATATAAAGTGGAACAGTGCCTGGTCAATTAGATTTGGAACAGTTTGGAAGGAAAAAATGACTTTAATTTGAGCCTAAAATATAACTTGCTTATTGGCCACCAGTATCAATAATCCATAACAGAAGATAAGAATTCCAGGTTTATTTTTCTTCAAGCTACATTTCATGTCTCGTCATGGCAGTATTTTTAGAAAGAGGAAAGGACATACTTTTCCTTTTATTTCGATTCTGACATTGTGAAATATTAAGATTCACATCAAGCCAGATGAATCCTCTCAGCCCACTCCACACTGAGCCAGCCCAAATGTGTGGAGGAGAGACCAACACTGATAGCACAGAATTCCCTTCGAGGAATCGAGCTGATCCCAGCCAAAACTGCCATCTGTCCTCAGTGAAATCTGTCAATTGTAGCTATTTATGAGCTCTCTAGTGGAGCCTATAAATGGCTCAATCTTACCTTGCCTACTCGATGTTACTCTCTTATCCAAAATCTTAATTGTCACTAAAAATGTTCATTAAATGTAGTCTTTTGGTGAAAAGTATGATGAGGCCGGGCTTTGGAATCAAGCAATCTTCAAGTCATATCCTGATGACATCTGCTATGTGGTCCTGGATATGTTATGGATATCTCTGTGCTTCAGTTTACTTATCTGTAAAATGGGGGCAGTGCTGTCTCTCCTGCCTTGCTCATGGGTGGTGGGGAAAAGTCACTGAGAAAATAGGCACAAGTGTCTGTCATCCATAGCAGTTATTTACGCCATGACATTTCCACAGGCCTTTCTTGCGTTGTTCCCAATCACACCAAGCATGACAAATGGGATTGGAGAGATGAGCAGGGAATAAGTTGCATGTGAGGTTAAAGATGTTGAAGGAATGTTTAGCTTTCATTTTATTTTTCAGGAGTAACAGGATTCTCAAAGTGTTTGTTACCCGATTTTTTAATTTACCAATTCTTATCTGAAATTACTTAGAAATAAACATCCAGGCTGGATGCAGTGCAGCGATACGTTTTATCAGACAGAGTTTAAGCCCATTGGGTGCTGTGACAGCTGGAAACTCATCTTCATTAGGTGAAAACAATGGTTACATCAGTGTCCCCTGTGCTGCTGGGGGAAGCAGCCTTTGTGTGGTGTTTTCCACACCTAATTTCCAAGGGGCTTTATTGAAACAATAAAAATTGCATGGTGATGTCACCTGTTGTGCACACACACACACACACACACACACACTCACACTCACACACACACCACGGAAAAAAAGAAATAAACAGAAAACTACAAGTGGAGAAAATTCCAGTCCAACCAATTCTGCCAGTTCCAAAAATGTTAAATATTTCCTAAGCGTGAGTGGCCTCAGACTCTTTCAGCTAGCAGACCAGGCAAGGGATTACTAGGGACCAGTTTTGCTCTCTGA